ACCGCCCCCAGAAACCCCCCGCCCCCTTTCTCCATTACACACCTCCCTGAGAGAGACATCCTGACACTTAAAAGAATCGCTTCCTCACTTGTATTGATAGTTTTACCACCTGTATCTGCATGTCTAAACAATAGTTTGGGTTTTGCCTGTTTGGCAAGTTTATCTAAACAAAAGCCCACAGTCCTTCAACTCACCTGTATTTGTAGGATTCACCCGTGCTGTTCGTTGTGTGTAGTTTGCGTAGATACAGTTTGCGCATGTGTAGATACTGCGCATGCATGCGTCGGTAGATACAGTTTGCGCATGCGTAGATAGTTTGCGCATGCTCATTGCTACAAGTCACGAACCCAGTAGCGTCTTGCTGGGTGCGTTGCTTGCGATTTCCCGCTATTGTAAGGATGCGGGAGCCTTCTCCTACGTAGATGGTGGCACACGTACGCACGTTTTCCTCCAAGCTATGCATCTAGGAGCGGAATTTCTGGAATACAGGTCACATGTATCTTCAACCCTACTGCGTGATACCGGTGTTCTGAAGTGGTTGAACAAATTTCCCATCCAGCCTGGATGCACGTTCCTATTGCTCCCAATGCCACACTTGGCATAGCTAATTTCTGGCCATCTGCTGGGCATGGAGGGATATCTCACTGGTATTACAAGTGTTTCTAAGGCAATTAATGAGATAGGGCACCTCTTCATGCATTGATGGGCCAGTTGGATTTCCTTTTTTTTTTTTTTTTTTTTTAAGTGTTTATTCGAATCTTTTGGCTGCTTTCTACTGGGTTGTCTGTCTTCATAGTGGATACCTCTGTTGCCAGTGTCCCTGTGACTTCGGCCACTCTGTGGTGAACAAACCTCCTGCTGTCAGAAGGCCAGCCTTCCCACTTCTACCTCAGGGTCTTCTCCAGCATTGTGGAAAAGACTGGAATGGCAGGATGATAGCTGGAGAGGTAGTTCGGTCTCCCGACGTTCTCGCAAACAAGTCTGGTGCTCCCTAGGGGTTGTGGAGCCCCCACGGCCTTCAGTAGAGACCTGATGATGCCCTTATATTGGGGTGTCTGCTTATCCTGTCTTGCTCATTCCAACCTTCACTCCTACCTCTGGTGTCATCTTCTAGATACACTGTTGCACCCAAGCCCTTGTCTCAGGTTTACTTCTCATCTTTTTCTTCTTGATCAGTAGGAGATATTTATATATTCCGGACACAACTTCTTTGTCAGTTTTTTTTTTTTTTTTAATTTATTTATTTATTTTGAGGGAGTGAAAGAGAGTCCAAGTGGGGGAGGGCAGAGAGAGAAGGAGAGAGAGAATCCCAAGCAGGCTCTGTGTTGTCAATGCTGAGCCTGATGCAGGGCTCGAACCCACAAACCGTGAGATCATGACCTGAGCTGAAATCAAGAGTCGGATGCTCGACCGACTTGAGCCACCCAGGCACCCGTCCTTTGTCAGTTATATTATTGCAAATGTATTCTCCCAGTCTGTGATTTGTCTTTTCACTTTTTCCCCTTGTAGTCTTTGGATGAACCGAAATTCTTTAGTTTAATGTAATGAATTACACTTTTCCTGTATGGTTAGTGCTTTTTGTGTTTAAGAACTCCTTCCCAGCTTCAAAGTCAGGAAGACATCTTTCTGTATTATTGTCCAGAAGTTTCATAGTTTGTTGCTGCCAGGTCTTTAATTCACCTGCAGTTGGTTTTCGTGACTGGTATGTGTTAAGGTAAAATTTTGGTTTTTTCTCCTGTATGGACACCCAAGTGTCCTAGCACCATTTACTGGAAAGTCAACTCTTTCCACAATGCTCTGAAATGCCACGTCGGTCATAAACCAGGCAGCCACATATGTGTGGGACCGTTGGTGTGTGTACCCCAGTCTGTTTTTTTATGTCCCAATTAAGTTTTAGAATTTTAGCTGGATTTTGCACATTTCTGGTTAGATTTATTTCTAGGTACTTGGTATATTTTGAAATATTATACATGGTGGTTGTATTAGTGACCTATTGCTATGTAACAAATCACCCCAAAAAGTAGTGGCTACAATAAGAAACATTTATCATCTCCAGTTTTCATGAATCAGGTACCTAGCTGGATGGCTCTGGCTTAAGGTCTTTTGTGAAATCGCTATTAATTTGGTGGCTGGGGCTGAATGCTTGACTTGTGGAGGGGACCTATAGGGCTGTCTCACAACATGGCAGCTGGCTTCCCCTGGACAGGAGATTTGAGAGCACCTAAAATGGGATCCACAGCCTTTTAATAACCTAATATCAGAAATGACATCGCATGATTTCTGCCACATTCCGTTCAGTCGAAGTGAGTTAACAAATACAGCCCAAAGAAGTGGAGGGATGGCATAAAGGCGTGACTACCAGGAAGCAGACAAATTACCTAGCGTTTCCATGCCTTAGTTTCCAGATCTGCAATATGGGGATGGTCATAATGGTAACTAGCTCATGGAGTTAATAGGAGAACACACAGGTTACTAAATGCAACGTTCTTAAGAATGTGCCTGGTGTGTACCAAGTGGTATAAAATCTGTTTTAAAAAATGGGATGATAAAAACTGTCTCATGTACCTCTGCAGGTTAACTGAAATCGTGGACACAATATATTTTTAAAATGTTTATTTATTTATTTTGAGTGAGAGAGAGAGAGAGTGAGTGAGCAAGCACGAGCGGGGGAGGGGCAGAGAAGGAGGATGAGACAGACAATCCCAAGGAGGTTCCGCACTGTCAGCACGGAGACTGACATGGGGCTGGAACCCACAAACCATGAGATCATGATCTGAGCTGCAATCAAGAGTCAGACGCCCAGGCGCCCCATGGACACAATATTACTGCTGTTCCTGCTCTGTTAATCTAGTGTGATGTCTTCATTTTATAGATGAGAAACTGAGGCCCAGAGAGGGCAGAGCTTCAGCCAAGGCCACCCAGCAGGCCACTGGCCCCCTGACCTGGAAAGCAGCGCTCCAGGGTTCTAGCCCAGCTCTGTCACCAGTGACTGGTTGTGTGACCGTGGCCTGGTCTGTTTTCTCTGGACCTCGGTTTTCCTGTTGGTGAACCAACAAGGAAGGCTGGTCATTCCTCCACCTGCTCCCAGCTCCATCAGACCAGTGGAGGACACTATGACCAAGCCCCAAGGCTTGTGCTCAGAGGTCTGGGGCTAGCAGTTGCTGAGGTCACTCAAGGACCCACAGGCACTGAGGACGTGCAGTGGAATGGTGAGTGGAAGCTGCCTTCTGGGAATCCACAAGCTTGAGAGCCTGTAGCCTCAAACCAACTGCTACCATACCTAGAGCATTTATGAAGGTGTTACCCACCAGCTGGCCTGAGTAAGCAGTTTCCCACGGGGAGGGGCGGGTGACAGGGCCACGGCTCGGGGTGAGAATTTGCTGCAGCCCTTTAGTTAGGTGGCCTCAGGCAGGCAGGCCTTCTCTGGGCCTCTGAGACTTCGGTCTTGCCTTCCGTGGGTTGAGGCAGGACACCAGGTTTCGGGCCTTGCACTCTGCCTCAAATCAGTCCCTGCCCTTCTCTGGGCCTCAGTCCCCCGTGGAAGAAATGGGATAGGGGACAGCGTAGATAAGGCTCCACCTGACCTGCCCACCAGGCATGTGTGACTGTCCCTCCTAGCATGTGGCCCTGTCTCCACCGGCCGCCACTGCAGGGGAAAGGCAGTGCTGAGTGTGAGCACAGGGACCCCGGCCAGACCACCCTATGGTCTGAGCTCTCCGAGGGTCAGTGCTCCTCACCCGGGCACGGAGAGCAGCACCCACACGGCGGGGCTCACGGGGTTCCCCGGGCCTGGCACAGTGTCCGTGCTCCGTATGACAGAAAACAATTCCCACCCCACCAGTGCCCCTCCCTGCCTCTGCCAGGCCTCAGGGGCTGGAGTCCGTTCCCAGGCCTCTGCAGGCCCCAGGCCTCCATCCCAGAGGGAGTCAGAACTCAGAAGAGGCCTTGGCCCCAGTTCCAGAGCAGGTGCTGGAGTCTCCTTCCCAAAGCCAGGGCTTCCATATCCTGCTGGGCCTCCAGGCCAACCCCCAAATTAGTTATCATTTAGTTAGGGCCCCCAGTCTGCAGGCAGTTAATTGCTCCCATTAGCAAAACAGGAAGACCTTAATGAACAATTAATGGATAAAACCGATGACTTCCAGAGCAACTTCTTTCAACAGAGACTGATTTTATTAACCACTTAGTCACTTGGACAAAGGCTGATATCTGCGGATTTGCATCCTCCAAGATGCTGGGAGGAAATACAGAGTCAGTGCTGTGCCAAATGGTGTGGTGTGCAAATCCCACCTCATCCAGTCTTATAGTGAAGTACTATTTCTATTTATTTATTTGAGAAGCGGAGAGAGAGGGAGAGAGAGAGAGAAAGAGAGAGAGAGAGAGTGTCCCACGCAGGCTCTGCACTGTCAGCACGAAGCTGTGCTCAAGCTCACTGGAAGCGGGCTCGAACTCACAAACCGTGAGATCATGACCTGAGCTGAAGTCAGGTGCTTAACACTCTGAGCCATCAGGTGCCCCCGAAGTCCTATTATTATGCTCATTTTATAGGTGAGGCAGCTGAAGCTCAGAAAGGCTATTCTCTTTCCCAAGGTCACATAACTTAGTACAAATGGATCCCAGTGGGTCTGACTCCAAAGGTATTTTCCCCTTGAGTGGCCTCTCAAACACCAGTTTCCTTTTATGGATGGAAGGCTCCAGAACCTGTAAGCTAAGGAGCTGTTGACCAATTCCCTCATGGCCTTGCAGGGAAGACTTGTTTGGACTCAGGTCTGTTTTCGTAGCAACTCCATTGCTTTAGTGATGAAGGAAGCCCTCAGGACCTCAGACATGCTGAGGCCGGCTGGTCCCCTCCAGGTCCAATCTTCAAGTTCCGGATTTGTCTCTGCTTCTCACTACCTACCTCTTCCTTGTCTGTGGTTCTCCCCACAAGGCAATGATAATGTGGTTTTAGATGGCATAGGGAGATTACATTTTAATTTTCGTTTCATGTATAGCCTTTATTTTATTTTTTAAAAAGATTTTATTTTTAAATCTCTCCACCCAATGTGGGGCTCGAACTTAACAACCCCGAGACCAAGGGTGGCATGCTGTACTGACTGAGCCAGCCAGGTGTCCCTAGTTTTATGCATATCCTTCAATTACAGCATGTGACTCTGGTCACTTAACACAGTGATATTGCACTTTCTTTGAAAATCTATCATTTTGAATTACAAATTTTGAATTCCAAAAAATCAATAGACCTAAAAGAAAACATTAGGTAAATATTTGGCAGATTTGATTTCTAGATTTGGAAAAAAACAGTGAGAATGAACTTGCCTGCCTGAAGCTGGGGAGACCTGGTCTGGGTTATCCCTTTTCTTCTTAACCAGACAAGTCCAGGGAGCGGTTTGGCAGTTTCAAGAGAGAAGTCCTTTCCCAGAGGGGAAGCTGGCCTTCCTCCTGAGCCATCAGGCTCATGCTGCAGTGAGTTATTTATTTCTCTGCAAATGTTATCAAGATACTACATGCACATAGTTTAAAAAGTATCAAGGTTGCCTGGGGGCAGGGATGGAGGGGAGGTTGACTGCAAAGGGGGCAGGAAGGAACTTTCTAGAAAGATGAAGATGGTCTATACTTTGACTTGGGTGTTTGTTGCATGAGTGTACACATTTGTAAGTCATCAGCCTGTACACTTAAAATGTGGAAATTGTATTATAGGTAAATAAAGCTGATTTGAAAACAAACTTAAAACCAAAGCCACAAATATTCATTTATGTTGGGGGCCACTAATATTTGTTGCTACGTCTGAGTTCTGAGGGCTGTACTTTGCTGCACTAGAGTATATGCTGGTTCCCATTCAGCTATCATTTCAGCTGCTCCCAAAGCCACCATTTACAGAGTTCTGTCATGCCCCGGTCACAGCAAGGGTGCTTAAAATGTCAGAGAATTACATTTGGCAAAAAGATGTCACAAGTCAGACATGAAGTGATTGATTAATTAATAAATAGTGTTGGGACAACTGGCCCCTCCATTTAGAAGGAAATCAAGTTAGATCCCTACCTCACACCATACACACACACACACAGACACACACACACACACACACACACACAAAGAGTCCACATAGATTAAAGATGGATGGATTAAATGTTAAAAGAAAATGATAAGAGTATTTGAGAGTATTAGAAGAAAATAGAGGGGTTTTTAAAAATAAAACCCAACCAGAAAAAGTCAAAACATGAAAGTCAAAGATCATAAGGCAACGTTACATTTGACTAAATAATAATGGAAAACTTTCTATGACCAAACACACTAGGAATTTGACTAAAAGGCATGCAGAAAATATTGTCTCATATGTATTAGTAATAGTAGTAGTAGTAAGAGAGAGACAGGGTGCAAGTGAGCAAGGGGCAGAGAGAGAGAGAGAGAAGCAGGACTCACCTGAAGTGGGGTTCAAGCTCACCCGATATGGGACTCTAGCTCACAAACCGTGAGATTATGACCTGAGCTGAAGTCAGATGCTTAATGACTGAGCTGCCCAGGTGCCTTGCCTCATATGTAATAAAGAATGAGGATTTTAATATGTAAAAAGGTCCTATACATCAGTAAGAAAGTGACAAAAAGCCCAATTAAAAATGGGTAAAGGATATGAACATTTGCATCACACAAGAAGAAATAAAAATGGACGATGAAGTTATGAAATTACATGATTAAAATTCACAATTACAGATAGGAACGTTAAGACAATAATGTCACCCTTCTCCAGAGTAGCAAAAGTTAAAAAACATTGAGGGATGCCTGGGTGGCTCAGTCAGTTAAGCTCCTGACTCTTGGTTTTGACTCAGGTCATGATCTCACGGTTTGTGGGCTCGAGCCCTGCGTCAGGCTCTGTGCTGACATCGTGGAGCCTGCTTGGGATTCTCCCTCTCTCTCTGCCCCTTCCCCCTCTCATGCTGTCTCTCTCAAAATAAATAAATAAACTTCAAAAACAAACAAACATTGATACGGTATGGGAAATATTAAAAATTTTTTAATGTTTATTTATTTTTGAGGCGGGGGAGGGGTAGAGAGAAAGGGAGTCACAGAATGAGAAGCAGGCTCCAGGCTCTGAGCTGTCAGCACAGAGCCCGATCGGGGCTTGAACTCACGGACCGTGAGATCGTGACCTGAGCCAAAGTCGGGCGCTTAACCAACTGAGCCACCCAGATGCCCCTTAAGATACTACCTTAAAGTATAGCTACTGCAATTTAGCAGCACCTAGAAAAGTTTGAGCTGCATAAATTCTCTGCAGTTCAACCTGGCAATCTCTCTCTTAGAAATCTATCCATCAGAAACAGCCACCTGTGTGCCCCAAAATATGTGTTAATTACTGGAAAATAGATTTTACTAAAAATTGGAAACGGCCTAAATTTCCTTCAAAAGGGGTTTATGGAAAAATAAACTTTATATTCTGCACAATGGAATTCCTGCAGCAATTAGAAAGAATGAACTAGAACTCTATCTACTGATCTGGAACAACATCCATCATATCTGGGCAAGAGAAAAGAAAGCAAGTTGTGAAACTATATATAACGTAGTAATCATATCTTTGTGAAAAAATTGCATATATGAGTGACAAGTATCTAAAATAATAATAGCTCAAAAAACTGTGTACTGTCCATGTCAGCAGCACGAGGTTATTATGACCATTCCACAGATGAGGACACTGAGGCACAGAGTGGTTAAGTTACTCGTCCAAGGTGGCACAGCTGGTCAGTTGCAGAGCCGGAATTTGAACCCCCGCAGCCCAACTCCACAACTGGAGCATTTGATTTTATTTTGGCCTCAAAGGCCAACAATAGTTCTGTTAACAACGATGACCTCTCAAAACAGCACTGGAGAGGCTGAGTCACTTTTTAATAAATACTTACAATAAACAGACACTAAAAAACATGAACTGGTAAAAAGAAAACCTTATCAAAAGGCCCAGTTTCCTGCAGACGCCCTCCTCAGACAGTTTTAGTTCATGTGGCCGTTACCTCCAGAGCAATAAATAACATGCGTATACAGCTATTTCTTGATTTATTAACCTTGGGCATTATCTATTGACTTCTGCAAGCCCTGGAAAAAAGAATCAGCTTATCTTTTTTTCTCTCTTTTCCTGTTATGCTGCTGTTTGCGTTGGACCCTGGGGTGAGCCGTTCATCCCGCTGTTGCTAAGTCGAGGTCTATTGAAGCTCACAGTCAAACAAGGACTTACTTGTCCAAGGTCACTTCAAGGTGGTGATGGAGGGATACCAGACCCCTGGCCTGTGTATCTCCAGGGACTGGATGCTTCTGGGACGCCCATGTGGGCTCACCCCATGGGGGACAGCGGTGCACTCCCTGCCTTCTCACTCTGCCAAGGTTCGGCAAGGCTGGAGCTGGGTGGCCCTGGCTGAGTGCCCCCCCGGTGTCCTCTGCTCAGAGGCGGCAGCGGATGTGTTTGCCGAGCAGCAGGTGCGGCCTCCTGGTGTTTGACCAGCCAAGGCTTCCATTCTCCACTGTGCAGGGGCCCAGATCCCTGCCCCTGTGTACCTGATACCTCCAGAGGAAAGGCTGAACCAGTGACAGGCTGGTGAAGGGTTGGGCACCTAATACCCAAGACCCTTGGAAAGAAAGCACCACACTCCCATTCCTGGACTCTGGAGTCACCCGGTTGGAGAGGCTTGTGAAAAAAACATGACCAGTGCTGGGCATCATCCCAAACCAGTTAAATCAGGAACTGTGGTGGGAGGCCTTGGGTCTAGAATGGAGAGGAGCCCAGAGAAGGCTGAGATGTACCGAGGTCACAGAGCAACCATGGGATGAGTACGTAGCAGTCCAGGTCAAAGGCCTCTTTAGCCTGGAGAGAAGCAGGCTGAGTGGGGGCAGTGAGGAAATTTAGGGCTGGGGCAGCTTTGTGGCTGTGGGGACGGAGGGGGAGGTGGCCGCTCAGCTGAAGGGACAGCGGGTGAAAGAGGCAGCAGAGCGGTGGTGGGGTCTCTGTGCTGCGGGGATCGCCTTCCTAGCAGGGCCGGGCAGGACAAAGACGGGAGGGGTGAGGGGGGCAGGCACAGCCACGAAGGGGCCACGTGGACCGTGCTCCA